ACACCAGGAAATATGACTCCTATGTCGCTTGAAGTAAGGACCAAAGATAAAAAAATGGTTCGACTTCAAAAGTGACGCAACACAAAACAAGGGATTCAAGTGAAAACCTGAAAAACACGAATTTTGGAATCTACCAAATTATGAAAAATTAAACTCATGAATTTTATTAATAAAATCTAACCAAAAAAAAAACAAACAACCAATGAAATAATCATTTATTTATAAGGGTTTATATGAAAATCTAGTCTAATATAACTAAAATTAATGAAAACCTAACTTAAACAAATTAAAATTAAAAAAGAATTTGAGATAAACTAAATGACAAAAATAGCTCTGAAATTTTAAAAATTAGTTTTCAAGTCCTGCATGAACTCAAATGGCCGAAATCCATCGTATGTGACGGCATAGCGATGAATATTACTCGTATCGTTGTCCTCTTTTCGAAATGCTATTATGAACCCAAACTGAAATTTGAACGTTCTCTCCGCACTATTATTTTTTCTCTATTTTGATTCAATTCTTCAACAGTATGTTCTACATTAGTCCCTTCCACCTCTGAAGAACTCATCCCCGAGTTATATTCGGGATATAAAGGCTCATTATCTTTATGAAACTCATACAAATCTGCCACATTTAACGTTCGAGAAATACCCATAGAAGTTGGCAAATCAATAATGTATACTATAATAATTGAAACATTTGGTACTCCACAGTTAACATTTGGTATTCCGTAATGAATTAGAAATATATGTAATTGTATACTAATAATTAGCAATAATTGTGTTTAGTGGAAATTAATTGACTTAATTTTGGAAAGCAATAATAATGGAATCATTTGGTATTCTAGTTTTATCTAAACTTAAGTATATTCATGTGTAGCTGTCAATTAAAATAATTTTTAAATAATGGTAAATAATACATATAACATATTAATGCAACCTTTCCATTTTTTATTTTTTTCTTTTTGTAAATATTGGGTATGTAGATAAATATGTAATGGTAAAAGTGGTAGGCAAAAGTTTCTTCCCAATTCTCACTTACCTCATTTTTTTTTTTTTTGGATCTTAAGCAATTTTTATTAGATCGCCCCCTAACATTGTCCGCTGGTCCACTATTCCTAATTAATTTGTAATGTCTTTTTCAGTTTCGCTCCCATTAAAATTTTGTTTCGCCCCCGCAAAATTTTGAATTTTTTTCCATTAATAAATATTG